GACACCAACTATTTATTTAACTATATAGAAACTGCAAGTCCAATTGCTTTGATATTACATATATAGGTACTACATGTGGACCTCTCTCAGATTTGTTCATTTTGTAATGATATCTTTAATTCTCTAAATTTGGTGAATATTTTTGTCATTTTTGGTAAAAAGTGATACTTTTGACTTCTTGTTAAAAACCACAAGTCCAATTGCTTTGATATTACATATATAGGTACTACATGTGGATCTCTCTCAGATTTGTTCATTTTGTAATGATATCTTCAATTCTCTAATTTTGGTGAATATTTTTGTCATTTTTGGTAAAAAGTGATATTTTCAACTTCTTGTTAGAAACCGCAAGTCCAATTGCTTTGATATTACATATATAGGTACTACATGTGGACCACTCTCGAATTTGTTCATTTCATAATGATATCTTTAATTTTCTAATTTTGGTGAATATTTTTGTCATTTTTGGTAAAAAGTGATATTTTCGACTTCTTGTTAAAAACGACAAGTCCAATTGCTTTGATACATGTATTACATATATAGGTACTACATGTGGACCTCTCTCAGATTTGTTCATTTTGTAATGATATCTTTAATTTTCTAAATTTGGTGAATATTTTTGTCATTTTTGGTAAAAAGTGATACTTTCGACTTCTTGTTAAAAACCACAAGTCCAATTGCCTTGATATTACATATATAGGTACTACATGTGGACCACTCTCAAATTTGTTCATTTCATGATGATATCTTCAATTCTCTAATTTTGATGAATATTTTTGTCATTTTTGGTAAAAAGTGATATTTTCTTCTTGTTAAAAACCACAATCATTTATGGTCAAAAATGATATTTTTGAATTCTTGTTGTAAACAGCAAGTCCCATTGCATTGATACTATGCATATTGTTCATTTTCTAATAATATCTTCTGTTCTTTAATCGAAATGTGCATTGCTAACAGCGGAGCTATCTCAGCCGAGAAGCTGCTTGTTCAAGGTTGTGTTAATCAGTTTAAAAATAAAAGTTATTGTTATTGCTATTTCAGTGATGACGACGACGATGATGAACATACAATTAAATTTCTCTTGGGTAAGTGAACTATTGTATTTTGATTCATTGTTTTCATTGTATTTATCTGTGTTTGGCACCAAAAGAAAACCCTGGTCCTGAACCAACGCTAAAACCCGAACTTTTTTGTAGGGGTGATGTTTCAGAAAAATACAGTGTATGTACTAAAAAAGAAAACAAATTCCTACCAAGAAAACATTCTTTTGTAAAAGTATCTACCAAATACTGCTCTATTGCAGTGTAATATGGTCAGCTGATTACAACAACCATGCAAAAGATTTCTTTAGTTTGACAACACCTATGGATAAATTGCATGTACAATTTTGTTAATCTCTTTCAAGAGTAAACTGCAAAGCTACCAATCTCTCTTGTCTATTAGAACTAGAAAGATATTACATTATTCATTCACATAATTCTAAAATGCATGATCAGATGGTTACAAAGTAATATTACAATATTCATTCACATAATTCTAAAATGCATGATCAGATGGTTACAAAGTAATATTAGAATATTCATTCACATAATTCTAAAATGCATGATCAGATGGTTACAAAGTAGTATTACATTATTCATTCACATAATTCTAAAGTGCATGATCAGATGGTTACAAAGTAATATTACAATATTCATTCACATAATTCTGAAATGCATGATCAGATGGTTACAAAGTAATATTACATTATTCATTCATAGTTCTGAAATGCATGATCAGATGGTTACAAAGTAATATTACATTATTCATTCACATAATTCTAAAATGCATGATCAGATGGTTACGAAGTAATATTACATTATTCATTCACATAATTCTAAAATGCATGATCAGATGGTTACAAAGTAATATTACATTATTAATTCACATAATTCTGAAATGCATGATCAGATGGTTACAAAGTAATATTACATTATTCATTCACATAATTCTAAAATGCATGATCAGATGGTTACAAAGTAATATTATATTATTAATAATTCACATAATTCTGAAATGCATGATCAGATGGTTACAAAGTAATATTACATTATTCATACACATAGTTCTGAAATGCATGATCAGATGGTTACAAAGTAATATTACATTATTCATTCACATAATTCTAAAATGCATGATCAGATGGTTACAAAGTAATATTACATTAAGCATGATCAGATGGTAACAAAATAATATTACATTATTCATTCGCGTAATTCTAAAATGCATGATCAGATGGTTACAAAGTAATATTACATTATTCATTCACATAATTCTAAAATGCATGATCAGATGGTTACGAAGTAATATTACATTATTCATATGATTGGATGGTTACAAAGTAATATTACATTATTCGTATGATCAGATAATTACGAAGTAATATTACATTATTCATATGATCAGATGGTTACATAGTAATCTTTCATTATTCATATGATTGGATTGTTACAAAGTAATATTACATTATTCATATGTTCAGATAATTACAAAGTAATATTACATTATTCATATGATCAGATGGTTATATAGTAATCTTACATTATTCATATGATTGGATGGTTACAAAGTAATATTACATTATTCATATGATCTAATTGTAACAAATGTAATATTACATTATTCATATGATCTGATAATTACAAAGTAATATTACATTATTCATATGATCAGATGGTTACAATAGTAATCTTACATTATTCATATGATTGGATGGTTACAAAGTAATATTACATTATTCATATGATCAGATAATTACAAAGT